AACTCACTCGCTCATTTTTTACTCTATCTAGATAAATTTTACATCAAAACGTAGGGATTTTTGTCAGGATTCAGGAAATGTAACCCTCATTTGTGTGGCATTTACGGTTTTCCGACAGTTTGGCCCAGACCACGAAGAAGTCCACACTTCTCCAATAGAAATCCAATGAGAGCTCTCTGAAAATCCGAACTGAAAATTCAAAAAAACAGACTTTTTCGTATCGCTCCCATTCGGGAACCGTTTGACGTAGCAACATGAGCCTTGTGGAAGTTGTTCCTCAGACCTTCCTAGCACTCACATTGAAGGAAGTGTGTCGATATCTTTTATCGTTTAGCTAGGAAAAAGGTTTGTTCGGGGGTAACAAATCTGTCCGAACCCCAAAATCAAGATTTTGACAATTATACACTTTTTTACATCGTCACCACGCCTAGACGAAATATTGTAGAAATATGAAAGTTACACCAGTTGTAGTCCAAAGATGGCTGACGCTCACGGTGAAAGAATTTTTTGAATACCTAATACGGTTTTGGCTCACCGCTCGTTTGTTCGGAGGGAAAGTTTTGCTTTTGAGAGTTCTGCTCTACCATTGTGCTGCATGTTATTTAATGAGACCAGCAGGATTTATAAACCTTTATATTTCTCCTTCCCATTAAGGCTGTGAATGAGCTACAGCCATGAAAGTTACCCCAATTGGAGACAAAGGATAGCTCTCGCTTAGACTGAAAGAATTTTTTAGATACCATTTACGGTTTGTCTTCAGCACTCGTTTGTTCGGAGCTGATATTCCCATTCAAAAAAGCCTGAGAACTAAGGAACGAAAGTGATGCGCATGTCTCTCTGTCACTGACAGGCTCGTTAACGTCGTCAAGGTAACCGTGCTTCAAAGGATTTTACCTCCACCACTTTAAACAGCACATTTTAATCTAATGGAGGGAGACAACACTGATTTAACATTAGGAAGTGGATACAATATGACTACTGGCCATGACCCTTCCCTTCACACGCAACCCTGATAGACTTTCAAAATAAGACTCCGGGGACCCTTCAAAATAAAAGCCCCTAAATTAAACTCATATTTTTTTCCCAGCATATGGCTCAACATTATGACCCAAACTCAACCACTTTTTTAAAAATGAGACTCTAGGGGGTTTTCAAAACACACCCCACAGCAAATTTCAAAATAAAAGCCTCCCATTGCCACTTCATCTACTGCCCTAATAACAAGGGAAAAGAGTGATTTAACGATTGGAAAGTCATCAAGTATCACTGCTGGGTCTGACCCTTTTCTCAACACACAACCCTGCTAGACTTTCAAAATAAGACTCCAGTGACCCTACAAAATAAAAGCCTCTATATTATACTTGTGTATTAATTGATGCAAATGGCTCAGCATTATGACCCAAACTCTACCAGCTTGTTTCTATTAGACTCTAGGGACCTTTTCAAAACATACCCCAGAGTGAATTTCACAATAAAAGTCTCCCATTTACGCTCTAATACAGCATCTATTCACCCAATAACATGGAAAACCAGTGATTTCATATTTAGAAATGGATTCTATATCACTGCTGGGCATGACCCTTCCCTTGACACACATCCATGATAGACTTTCAAAATAAGACTAAAGGGAACCTACAAAATAAAAGCCTCTTCCTTACGCACACTCATTCATTGTGCCGTATGGCTTGTAGCTATGACCCAAAGTCAACCAATTTCTTCAAATTACACTACCAAGGCCTGTTGACCACACACCTCAGTGCATATTTCTTAATCAGGTTCTAAGATTTACACTGTAATAAAGCATCTGCTAACCTCGTAACATGCAGCCTAAGCCTGCCAACGGTGCTTTCATTACCACAGCGGCTCGTAACATGCAGGTTAAATTTTTTTATAAATTCAGCTCCTTAAGTGGTATTAGCTCTCTTTCTATAAGCTTCTCTCTCTGTCCTTCCTCTGCTTCTCATGGTCAGTCTTGCACATAGGTTTGTAGATTTTCAATCCTCTAAGGATGACACTGTTTTCTTTATGCTGATCAACCGACACATTTTAAATAATTTTCCAATTGTTTTGCCAAGTCTTGACATTTCCACATATGATTTCAAAATGTTAATACTTATTCAATACCATCGTCCTCAACATTTTACTTCCCATCCTTAAGCTACTAATTTTTTCTTCAACTAGATAAGATTAAAGTTTTTCTTTGTAATTTCTTTTCTACTTCAGCTAATTTCATACTTTTCAGCCTATGTTGTGAACTTTGGCTTCATTCTGCTCTGTTTCTGGACAGGAATTAAGCTTTTCTGTTTGCTGCTAATTCATAACACGCCTGACATGTTTCTGGAAAGTAGATAAACCCCCCTTCAAAATTTCTTAATACATTTTTCTAGAAACTTGGGAGACATTATATTAAGACCCTTCTAGTGCCCACATTCAAGACATTTTTTGATATCATGTATGGTTTGGCTGTGCAGCTTTTAAGATGAGTTTGTTTCTGCCATTTTACTGCCAAATGATTCTACCCTACAAAATCTTCAGATGATTCAATTGTTTTCTGCAGTTTGAATTTTCTGATGACTTCCTATCACATTTTCATATGTTCTTCAGGTAATTTCAGCTTTTTTCATTCAGCAAAAGCATTCCCACTTTGATGTTTCTCCGAAACAGCTTTTTCTAGTTACTAATGTTTTGCAAGAAAGTGTTTTCTTAATTCCCCTTGAACCCACCATTCTTTTCCCAGTTCCCCTGAATGCATCATGCTTACACAACATGCGTCTGAGCAGACATGCAAATTGTTGACCAGAGCTGTAAGATAGGCACCAATTGAGCTGAGAAAAGTGATAAAAAAAAAAAAAAACTTAAGTTTTAAGTTCATATTGTCAATCTTTCAGTACTTTAGAGTTGTTTCTATCAAACCCAACCGAGTGGAATACACTTGTCCTTAAAACTCCAGTGAGTTCATTAATGTGGTTAAAATAACAAAATACAAAATCTACCCATGCAAGCTAAAGCAAGAACCGCTATGTGTTAACTAAAACCAGTCGGAGTACTGTTGTTTGAGTTTTAAAGACTGAGTCATTTCATTTCTGTTTAGTTTTATAACTAAGCTCGAGTTTAAGTGTATACAGAATATAATTAAAATGAAGATTGGGGTTTGTTATGCTTTAAGTAATCCAGTTAAACTTTATAGTCTTGATGTTAAAACAACAAGTTAACTACATTATGAAGATTTGATGAGATCTCATTTTAAATAGAAAAACCATCAAGTTATATCTCTAATTGTACTATATGTGCAGACTGATCTGATCTAAGATCTGATCTTAGAGTTGATCATTAAAGTTTGATGGCGAGCCAGACCCAGTGAGGACTTCTGAAGAATCCCATATCAGAGCGGCCAGCAGCTTGTGTTTATGGAAAGAATCAATTGACCTTAACATCACAAACTGCTCAACCTCATAAGGAACAACCAGCTCACTTTATTCCGAACCGATAACCACACAGTGGAAAGATCTTTTCTGTAATTAAATAATACACAGAGACTAAATAGAAGAATACAAACTACAACCGTTCCTGAATTGTATTTCATTTTCAGAGAGCTCTTTTTCTGTATTTAACTGTTTTATTGCGCCATTGTAAAACTGTAATAAACCGGCAGACTGCTCAAATTCCAGATTTCCCTTCATTTATTTTACTCCTCTAGAACCTAGTAAATGGTTAGTTTTTGCTTTTCGTAAGTAAGTGCTACAAAAGCATTGCATGGTAAAGAGGGAAGCCTTCAGAGAGCTGCAGCGTAACTTTTGGATCAAGCCTCATAAAAAAAAAAACAATATTTTACTCCATCTAAACAGGCAAGTTCAAATAATCACGTTTTATTTGTTACACCTAGTTCTTTTTGTGTCATTCCTAACCACTTTAAGGGCCGGATCTATCAAAGGTTTGCGTGTATAAAAACGTGAGCTATTTCACTGCGCACGCTAAAAAATTTACAAACTGATCTATCAACAGCGTGCCAAAAGGATTTGGTCTTTAAAACGTGCTAAATAGCGCCTCTTATCCATTTAGTACTTTTTCTGCAATTAATATGCAATATGGGGCGTTTACACGCAAAAGTGCGTCTTGTGGGAGGAGAACATGTAAATATATTAATTTAGCACTCGCAAAGTGATTTATTAAACATGAAAGCAATTTTGCTAACGGTATCTGACTCTATATTTAACACGTTTCAAAAGAAGGTGCAAATGGTCTGTATGCGTAATTGCGCACACATGGCAGCGGTTATTGTCGCAAGAAGGAGACATCGAAATGAAGCAAGGAGACGCAGAGAACGCATTTTTTCACTCCGTGTGAATATTTTTGCAATGAACGAGGAAACGAACATCAAAACATGGTTTATCCAGCATTGCCATTTTGGAGCTGCAATTCCAGTGATTTGCTCCTCACAGAGCGTCAGCTGTACTTGTTCCTCAATGCTGGTCAGAGGCATCTCATCTACTGTGCCCCCTCCTGTTTTGTTCGCAGATGTTTTGTTATATGCCAGTTTTTCTTTTGTTCGCCTTCTAATATCCTGGTATCTTGTTTTTACTTCATCCACTGTTCGCAAGGTTTCACCAACAGCATTTACTTTATTACAGATTTGTTCACATATAGCGTTCCTCTGTGTGACAGGCACACTTCTTTGCTGTAGCTCACTCAAATGTTTGTTGGCTTCATCCACCAACACCTCCATTTCCATGGGGTCGAATTTCCTTTTGCGCCTTTTGCTGTCCAAACTCGCCATGCCGCAAACCACAAAACGCGCAAAACCCTCATTTAAATAGGGCGTCTCCAACAGTTTTGCACCTGCAACCAGTTACGCAATCACTCTTGTTAAATTACCCGCAAACCATGGTTCAGCCCCTCGCGCAAAATTCCAGTTTGCGAGCGCAAATTACTGCACGCAAAATTGGATCCTGATAAATCCGGCCCCAAGTCCTTAATATCATAACTTAATTTTCCAAATATTTTCACATCTCGCTGCTTACCCTGAGTCTGTGCTCTACTTTGATGATGTTACAGTTGAGTATGGAGGGCTCCATATCTTGAGGTATGGGAATAACCTGTGTGACTTTTTCGGAGGCCGATGGGGGGATTGTAGCTCCAACCTCCTTAATGAGATCCTTAGCGTGGACCTTTCTTCTCCCATGGGCAAAAAAGCTGTGCTTCTTGTATATGCAATACTTGGGCTTGATCTCACGAGATGAATCATTCTTAATGAAAGCCAAAACCTTTAACCCTTCTCCTGTGGTGCACAGAAAAATGATCAGAAAAGCTGCTAAAATTATATTCAAGAACAACTCATTGCTCATTTAAATGCCTCTCACCTTGGTAAAAGCCTGACTTCTCAAGGTTTACATCCATTGCGACACTTCCAGAGTTAAAAAGACCCATTTTCTTATCCTTAGACTCATGTTGGGGTACCTAAAAGACAGGTGAATAAATAAATGCAACAACATGCCCATCAAAAAAAACAAAAAAACATTCAGCACAATGACTGTCAATCTTGTGTTTGAATTTGTGATACCTGTCCAGAGGAAAGCAACAAAAATATTTTAAAGCATAAAGCTCAAATGCAAAGGGGACACAAACACAAAAAGTTAAAATAAAAAGTCTTAGCACCTCCCAAATAAAAACCTGTTAAACCATCAGAACCTCATGGTAAAATATTCATATTGTAATGTCCAGTGAGGCATGAGTGGCCACAAGGGGTGCTGGGTAATATTTACACTGGGCAGAACATCAGCATGTAATTCTAATTTTGTGTAAAAAAAACGGTTGTTCATTTTGGTCATCTGTGTATGCTAGAGTAACATTGTGTTCTTGAGGTTGCAGTTGTGTTAAACCTTGATTTAAGGGTTAGGGAGGATGTTCTATCCCTCAATCAATATATAGGAACAGGGACTATATAGTGGACTTTATAGTGAACTGACCGTTCGAAAAGATGATCACTACTTTTGGCTTCCCTTTAGTCACGTGACTCCACCTCCATGCACCATCTTTTCTTATTCGTTGGAGCTGTCGGCTAGAGACAGTGCGCCGCTGTGACAACAAATTCTATGACACTTTGCGAGGGAGCAGTCCTCGCGAATCATTCCGGGATATACAGTATCTCCTCATCTAGTGAACATGGATGTGAGGCTAATTGTAGCATGGCACTTTATATTAAGGACAGGAGGTGGGGCTTAAAGCCACAGCTCCAGCTGTCAATAAGTCCACAGAAGCTAACCAGTTCCATGTGGAATAGGGAGAGACTTGGTGGAGTAGAGCTGTGCAGGGCTGCAATTGTCAGTGGAAAAACATCATAAGGGGACATTTGCTAAAAGCATTTTTCAGAGAAAAAAAAATGTATTTACTAAACTACTATGAAGAAAATGATCTTCTGGCCAAAGATAACAGACTCTTCAGCTGCTTTAGTTTCCTAAGGGAATCCAGCTGGATCTGTGTCCATGATTGTAGCCCAAAGCTGCACCCACAAGGAGCTATTTATTAGTCAGCTCAGTTCTGTAAATAAAGCCGTAGAGACCTACATCAAATTACAATTTGCAACAAGACTGGTTTTCTTAAGACAGCTGAAGCTACTGATTCACAATGTATAGCTAAATTATATGTGATATGAAATGTAACTGTCTGGCACAGTGGTGTTAAATTTGGTTATACAAGAGAAAGAGCTTAATAGTACATACTTCTGTTTTGATATCTGCACATTTAGACAGACAAAATGTTTCACCACCAAAAGTCCTGCAGCTCTTCAAAACATCTAAGACAGAACATATCATGAATGTGAAACATACCTTTAGATCAGCGACTGGGTTCAGGTCATCTCTTGCCAAAAAGTTGAGCAGGACCGATTCCTTGCTGTCCATCCTCATTGATCTGCTCAAAACTGCTTCCAGCTGGTAAATGATTTTACCGACCTCACCTTTAAAGGAGGAGGGAATATCCCTAATGAGAAACCACACAGGGCCAGAGGAGAGTCAGAATCATGCAGTAAAAGAATACGATTTATTGGAAAGACGAGCTAAATATTGAAAAACAAAACAAGTAAGATCATATGATCTACTGGAAGGATCATTGTAAATAAACTTAAGTTAAAAAGTTTTGTGATGAGTAGTGTATGTTTCAAGAATAACGAGAATGTACCTAATTGCTACCATTACAGGATGCTAGTTAAATGCAGGGCATTTCTTTAGATGCATGTACATGTACCGAAACATATATGTAGTTGTTTCTTACTGAAGAGGGAACTGAAAGGAGAATGGATACACATGGATCCCAGGAGGCACAACACTGCAGTCTATCAAATAAAAACATAAATGCATTAGTTAATATCTTTTTTTAGGACAGTGTTGCCTCTCTGTTACAATTTAATCAAAGATCTGCATGAGTAAAACAAATATATGTTGCACAGCTTAGATAGGGAACTCCAATTCATGTGTTCTTTTATTATTATATTTTATTCATCATCTGTTTATAAATTCAATATCAAGCAAACATAGGTGATTAACTGAAGCCATAAAAAAATAATGCCAGACAAGCAACCACACAATGGTACAAAACAGAAACCCTAAAAAACGAACAGAAGGGGATGCTCAGGTTTTTGATTGAGCAGATATGCAACAGAATTGCATTGAAATTTATTCAAAAATTTTTAAACAGCAACAATGCAGCAAAAGGCATTATATTCAGATTTGCATGTCCGACATATTTAAAACAAAGAAGCTTTAAAAACAGATTTACTAACACAAACAATTTGCTTCCATTTCCATCATCACAAAGATCTAAGAAAAAAACCTCTCTGATTATTAGCTCATTTGAAACAATAATGGCTGAAAGGGAGTAGAATAGGGCTGCAACAACGAATCGCTAAAATCGATAAAAATCGACTTTTAAAAGCGTTGGCAACGAATTTAATCATCGATTCGTTGTGTCGCGCGATTAATGCGTCATCCGCCGCCACCGCCATCCCGGGGAAGAAAAAAAAATATGGCGGAGCGAGTCAGCGCCGCAGTTGCAGTGTTGCCAACTCAGCGACTTTTCAGACCCCTCCAGCGACTATTTTTTATAAAAGCGACTAGTGACAAATCTGGCGACTTTTTAAGGTGTCACTGGCGGCTTTTGGAGACTCTTACGTGAAAGCATGTATCGTTCCTATTCTTGTCCTCCAGCGGCAGCTGCTGCCGTGGGGCGCCTCCCCCATCCCAACCCCTTTCTCCCTCTCCCACAGGAATCCCTCTCAGCGCTGCAGTCAGAGCCGCAGGATTTTAGTGAGGAGTTTACCCTCAGCGTCCAGACTGCAAATGAAGCGCGCATGCCCCGGGATTGACGGCGCAAATTGATCACAATAATTAAAATAGCCTGCGCTTTGTAAAGTGAAAAAAGTCGTAACATGCAACTTTTGTAAACACAAATGAACATGGCACGGAAGCACCACTGTTATGACGCAGCACCTGAAAAGAAAACACGTTGGAGCCTTCAATGGCAGTGAAGAGAGCTGATCAGCAGGATGAGCGACCATGTTTGTTTCGTTTTAAAGTGGGGAAACGTAAGTTAGTTTCTCAGGTAGCTCATCTGATGCTTTCCCTACCGTGTTAGTAGGTTACAGACAGGGATAAGGTTGGCTACTTATTTTACTTTTAATTTCATTTGAATTAGCTTAAGCAGCGTTTATATTTTCTTTATAAATAAATTAATTTGCAAATTATGAGGGCAAGGCTTTTAAAGTTTAAATCTTCTGGCAAAGATAAAGTAAAGAAGATCCTGCAATTTATGGAAGTAAAGCAGAATAAAATCCAGCAAGATCAGTAATATGTCAATTATATGCCACATTCCCATGTAAATATCTGTCTTTGGAGGATGTGTTTTTTAGCACCCCTAGTTCTCTCATTTTTATTCCAAATACAATTTATAATTTGAATCACAGGGCTATTTTTATCTCTATGGTTAAGTATTTTCTCAAGTAGCAACTTTAACTGCTATACTTTCCTGTCTTAAAAGGCAGAACTCTTCTAGTCTAAAAAAAACTCGTTTGTTGAAATGGGGGGGGGGCTATTGTTTGAACCCCTTAGGGGCTTTAAAAAACAAAAATGCCTGTCTCTTTTTGCGCTTTATGAAACAAAGTACCCTATATTTTGTGGATGTACAGCTACATTTCTCATGTAAGTTTGCGTAGTTTTAACACAAACATTTATTTTTCATATTGCACCAGTACAGTTAATGAACAACCTGTACTTGTGTGCTTGTTTGTTCTGTCTAAAATGTTTATTTTGGAATAAAGAGGTTAATATAAAAAAAATTTGTGTCCGATTCATCGAAAAAATAATCGGCCGATTCATCGATTTTCAAAATAATCGTTAGTTGCAGCCCTAGAGTAGAAGTCCCATCAATTTAGAAAGTTTTGCAAATTTTCTGCTCTTTTACAGCCATTAACCACTGTGAGTCCATATACATTGTACCTCTCTTTTTGCACGCAAGCACAGACATTTTTTAAACTAAATTCAAGTCTAATAAAAAGGTTGTTTGAGCTATTATTACATAAAGATAGGGCACTTCACTGTCTTATTTGAGGTGTTAGGAACAAACATGAGCATGACAGAGAAATACAATTACTTACAGGTTGCTCCACTTTCATTTGTGATCAGTGTTTGCTGTTCATCTGGAAAGAAGTCACAATTGCAAGAAATTAAAAGCAACCAACTTCACACAAAAGCGGAAATTCGCATGACTGCTTTTGAATATATAGTATCTTTGTGTGCATTACTAAAGCTTTATTTTCTTCCTAACTACAGAGACTTGCGAAAGTATTTGCCCCCCTTGAACTTTTCGAACTTTTGGCACATTTAAAGCTACAGTGTGTAATAATTACAGGGATATACAGTCAGAAATGTAATATATTATACATAACTATGTTATTTTATCATCATCTACGAGCTCAGCCTCTTAACCTTAATATTTGCGTTGCCTTAGAATTCGTTATTTATAATTACATAGGAGCGGGTCTCGCAGCCATGGAGGCAGACATCTTTGCGCTACGGCAGCGCAGAGCCAACAAACTAGCAATTGCGAGATCGCCAAATCGTCACAACGATGTAGAAAAAATAACGGGTATATTTATTATCTTAAGTCTACATGAAATCTATACCCTACACAGACTAATGAAATACTATCTGTAAAATTATCTATGTAAACAAACCTCATCACTTTAGAAGGTAGGTGATGCGGACGTCCTGGAAGACATTTTGTCCCGTAATGCTCGCCGTACTGTTGGGGGGGAGAAGCGGAGGGGGGGGATGTTCATGTTGCTGCAGTCTGCAGTCTGACCGCTAGATGTAGCTAAAAGTTACACACTGTAGCTTTAACGCTTCAAACAAAGATATAAAATTGTAATTTTTTGTGAAGAATCAAGTGAGAAAGAATCATGAAGTGGAACAAAATTTATTGGATATTTTTAACTTTTTAAACAAATTTAAATTTAGATTGCAGCATGCAAAATTATCGGCCCCTTTCCTTTCAGTGCAGAAAACTCTCTCCAGAGGTCCAGTGAGGATCTCTGGATGATCCAATGTTGACCTACATAACTGATGATGATAAATAGAATCCATCTGTGTGTAATAAAGTCTCCATATAAAAGCAGCTGCTCTGTGATGGTCTCAGAGGTGTGTTTAAAGCACAGAGCGCATCATGAAGAACAAGGAACACACCAGGCAGGTCTAAGATTCTGTTGTGGAGAAGCTAAAAGCCAGATTTGGATACTAATAGATTTCCAAGGCTTTAAACATCCCAAGGAGAACTGTGCAAGTGATGATATTGGAATGGAAGGAGTATAAGACCACTGCAAATAAACCATCAGCTGAAAACAAGGGGAGAACTTATCAGAGATGCAGCCAAGAGGCTCATGATCAATCTGGATGAACTGCAGAGATCTACAGCTGAGGTGGGAGACTCTGTTAATAGGACAACAATCAGTCATATACTGCACACATCTGGCCTTTATGGAAGAAAGGCATATGTGGAAAAAGGAGCTCTGGGAGATGAAAGCAAAATTGAACTTTTTGGCAACAATGCAAAATACAAAGATGATTCTGGAAGAAAAAACTGCTGGAGTCTGCAAAAGAACTGAGTATACTAGTTTCTCCACATTTTCAAATTATCAGGATATAGAAAAGGTAAATTAAACACAGGAAAAGCCACTTTTACCCCAACTGATTGTGGTCAGAAGCAGATTAGTAGGGTAGACCAGGGACTGTTGCAACACCCTTTGCATAGTCAGACAGTAAAAGGTTCCTCAAATAATATTTTTTATAGAGTTAACCAAAGTGGAACTAAAACTTTCCCACTTGTGGATTTCTGGATGCAGCATACAAAAATGTATTTTTATCTTAATTGCAAATTGTTTATATATCTTTTTTATTTTACGATTTTGATATAATTACTGCTCCTAAATGGGTCGCTCTGCCAGCTAAAGGCATGTTTTAAAGTCTATATTTCAGTTAATGATTATTAAATTAGTTGACAGTTATTTAAATAATTGATTAATCATTAATTAATCTGAATCAATTAAGTGGATCTGATAGGATGCCACCTATGGAACAAATCAAGTTGTGAAATTTCCCCTTTCCTAAATATTCCACAGTCAGCCGTATCATACTATAAATTAGGGTTTTTTGGAACAACAGCAACTCTGCCATGAAGTGGTAGGTCAAATAAACTGACAGAGTGGGGTCAGAGGATGCTGAAGCATATAGTGCAAAGAGGTCAGCAGATTTTAGCAATCACTACACACCTAACTTTGTGTGGCCTCAGATTATCTGAAAAACAGTGAGCTTCTTAACCAGGGTTTCCAAGTATTAGTGTAATAACTGGAGAAAAACAGCATGTTGCAACCATTTCCCTCTGCATATTTTTTCCGGTCTACCTTAACATACAACTAATCTATTTTCTTCTTATATTCAATATACTGAACAGACAGAATATCTAGCTCGTTGAAATCAAAAACAACTCTGTTTAACATGTAAATAAATACCCTCCCTTGTTTAGGAGTTGGAAATAGTAAAAGGCTGCACCTGAGCTCTTTAGAAAGCTGTTAGGTTGATACTACGCTAGTATCAACAATCATATACGCAGAGGTGGGTGGTAACCAGTGTTGGGCACGTTACTTTGAAAAAGTAGTTATAGTTACTAGTTACTTCTCCCAAAAAGTAACTGAGTTACTAACTGAGTTACTCCACAATAAAAGTAACTAGTTACTAGTAAAAGTAACTATTGCGTTACTTTTGCGTTTCTCGCCCCCGTAACCCTCACCACCCAGCCCCCACCTTCTCGCCGTGTGTTTCAAAAACCAGCTGAATAGAGTGGACGACAAAGACAAGTACCTGCAGAGAGTTTAGCATTTCTTGTAACTCAATGTAAATGACATCAGGGGGGAACGCCATGTGAAGTTTTTTAACAGGGCATTCAGATCTGGTGAGTATATGAAATTAATAACTGGGGATGTCTACTTCTGAAATCCTGTGTGTTTGGGTTGTTATAGATACTGCAACATCTATCTATCCATCTATCTATCTAGATGTATACTCTGTGTGACATAAAATATGGATCTCCATCCCTGCCACAAAGGCCATCAAATAATGTTTAAAATAAAAAATCCAGTAGGTTGAAAAGTCAGAGTATCCATCCATCCATCCATTCATTCATTCATCCATCCATCCATCCATCCATCTTTCTCCCTTTCATTTGATCGTTCACGCTCTCCATAGTTCTCCTGTGGTGCGAGCACAGGGCGACTGTGGCGCGCCTTTAGCGAGCATGCGTGTTTCCTGTCGCTTGCGCGGTGACTCTTGCCGCCTGCGCTGTGCGGAGATGCAGGGGAAACCGTTATGTGATGGGGAAACGCAGCTCGACGCAACACCGGTATTTCCATCTGGAAAACTCTGTTATGCTGCTGGAGTCATCCTCACTCTCCATCTCTCTGTGTGTGATGTATACGTTAACACCCGCCAGCAGAAACACCCAACTGACAGACGGACTCTCACTATACATCAGCCATTCTCATCCTCCCCTCTCTCATGACAAGGCGCGCACCTCTGGATGACCTAAAAAATAATCTTTAATATCTCTTAAACAAAAGTAGCACAAACAATATTTTTTTCTGCACAAATCTGCACTAACGTTGCACTAACCATTCAGTCTATTTGCAGAGTTTTTTGACGTGGGTGGGGTGTCAGCTTCACGCAGCTGCGCACGAGTCCCATCATGAAAAAAGGTTCATTGTGCGACCTGAGTAACGCGCAGTAACGGGGTGTATGGAATGGTAACTGTGTTATAGTTACAGTCAAAGTAATTAGTTAGATTACTCGTTACTAAAACAAGGTAACGGCGTTAGTAACGCTGTTACTATCAACGCCGTTAGTCCCATCACTGGTAGTAACCAATTAAATTTATAGCGTAACTTTTAGAAAAATTAACTTTTAGGAGTATATTTACTTTTGTACGTTTTGTGGGTTCGATTTCCAGCCTGAGGTCTCTCTGCATGGAGTTTGCATGATCTCCCTGAGCATGCGTCGGTTCTCTTCGGGTACTCAGACTTCCTCCCACAGTCAAAAAACATGACTCTTAGGTTAATTGGCTTCTCTACAGTCCACTTAGGTGTGAGTGTGTGTGTATGTGAATAGTTTTTTGTTCTATTTGTCTCTGTGTTGCCCTGCAATGGACTGGCGACCTGTCCAGGTTGTACCCCTCCTCCCGCCCATAGACAGCTTGAGATAGGCACCCTCGCGGCCCCAATTGGGATAAAGCGTGTCAGAAAATGGATGGATGGATGGAGTATACGTACTTGACTGTACTTTTTGCTTTTACCTAAGTAATATTCTTTGAGAATGGCTACACATAGTCGGGTTAAATTTCTGGTTCCCCTCCCCTCTACTAGTGACTTGAACTATTGGAGATCAGGGGAAATGTGCAACATCCTTTACTTGCATTATATGCATTACCTACTTCAAATATTGGTTTCATCCAATCAAAAGTTGATTTGAAAAATAAATTTCTACTTACCCAATTTTTTATTTCATAATCATTGTTAATTTATTTGCATTTTTCTAAAAATAAAAGTTAAAATACCCAGATGTGCGAATTACTGTCTGCCTGATGACACAATTTTAAATATTAACATCAGTTACTCATTTTTAGAGAAACAATTTTTTTCCCCAAGTACTTTTTTAAATTGAGTAATTTCGGGGATAATTACTTTTTACTTTTACTGGAGTAAAACATATTAAAGCAGTGCTACTCTTGCTTTACCCATTGTTGTCAGAATTTTTTTTTTATTTTAATGGGTTAAAATAAGAAGTCAAAAAGGCAGTGTTTAAACCTTATACTAGACATATTTACACTGTATTATATATTAAACTTACACTATACTAAGTAATAATAATGAATTTTAATTTCAATGGTGCTTTTAAATAAACAAATCTCCAAACCAAATTTTTACAGGAAATTAATAACTCATAGCTAAAAAATAAAAAACTATTAAATTATTACAGAAAAAAAAAGTAGGGCATAAAATAGGCTAAAATTAAAAGTTTAAAAGAGAAAAAACTTGTAAAATGGAGGAATTAACCTAAAATTAAATTACCAAAAAAAACAAAATTAAATTGTGAAAAGTATGTTGTGAAAAAGGCAAAAGTATGTTGGAGAAAAAAAAGGCAAAGCATGTTGAGAGAAAGGCAAACGTATGTTGATGAGAAAAGCAAAGATATGGTGACGAGAAAAGTATGTGACGAGAGGGAAAGGTGACTTAAAGTGACTGAAGGATGAAGTGGGGCGACTGACGAGACGACATTCCTTTCCTGGAAAAGGCATCTTCTTTTATATGGTAAAGATGAACAACTTTATATTATTTTTTTCTTATTATTATTCATTTGAAACATTGAAACTCTTCCTTAAACTAACCATTGTTTTTTTTTTACTCCCTGCCCTTCAAACATGGACTCCCTGATCGGAGCCGCTCCTTGTGGAATTCAGACCTGGAGGAGGCAGCAATCAGTAACGGCTAAAGGTGATCGATTATATATTTTTTTTTGAGAAGTACAGAATTCATGCTCTTTTCAGAACTACATTTTGTATTTAAGAGAAAATTATGTGTCTCTGCAAGTCATCTAAGAGTCTTCCATTAAATTATTGATAAATAGATATTTTAATAAAATGTATTAAATAATCAATTTATGTAGAAATTAGTACTTGTAAATATCAATTTTATGCTGAATGATTATTGATCAAAGTAGGTAAGTAATGACAGTGGAAAAGATGTTTCCCCCAAAACTCAAACCTCAAACAATTGTATCCACTATACCTTTCATCTAGAAAGCACAGATGTTTAAATATTTATGTGTCTATTTGTCAGCAAAAGTTGTAGAAAAGTATGGTTAGTCTTTATTTTAAAGATATGGATGTTGCGCCCATTAATTTTCCTGTTGTAGATTGACCCTGAGGGTCTGGTGCCTATCAACTTTCGGCCAGCCCTCAGTTTACATTGGTTATTGCCTGGCCACCTTATAAAAAATGTCTGGCTATGCCTCTGCCCTTTAGATTAAGATATTTTTCATTCATAACTTTTTGACATGAAAAATAAATGCAGGCCACAAAAGTCAGTGTTTATATACTGCATCCCTCCTGCTTCTTTACTTATTCTTTTATATTTATACAAGCAGCAAACCTAAGTTGGGCGGGAGCCTGTAGGAGTAGCTGCCAGTTCCTTGCTCCCCCGTTTTCACAATCTGATTAGAAGTAATTAGTCCTTATAGATCAGACATCACCAAAGTCGGTCCTCGAGGGCCGCTGTCCTGCAGGTTTTAGAGGTTTCCCTGCTCCAGCACAGCTGATTTACATTGATCTTTGATTAACAGGATTCTGTTGAACTGCAATCATCAGAATCAGCTGTGCTAAAGCAGAGAAACCTCTAAAACCTGCAGGACAGCGGCCCTCGAGGACCGACTTTGGGGACGCCTGTTATAGATCTATTCCTTTATTTGATGTTTTGTTGTTTTTGTTGTTGTCTGCGGCAACTGTGTGATGCCATCATGTCAATATGGACCAAACTCCCTGAGGAATGCTTCCAGCACCTTGTTGAATCTATGCCACGAAGAATTGAGGCAGTTCTGAAGGCAAAAGGGGGTCCAACCCGTTACTAGCATGGGGTACCTAATTAAGTGGCCGGTGAGTGTAGAAAGTATTGTTAAAAAAAAAACAACAAAAAAACACTTGATTTGAAATTTTTCAAGAGCAACTTATGTAGCCACAAATTAAATTAATGTACATTTAACCTGTTAAATGAAAATGAACAGCAGCAAAGCACACTTTTCAATGCAGAAATAATAAAGCACGAAAACCCCTAAATGTAATGAAATATGACCCTAATCAGTTTTAACAGAAGGAGCACCAACGTTGATGTTTTTATTTTTTTATTTTTCATGAGTTTGAGCTTTTATGTGTTTAATCTTAATTATTAAACAAAGTGTCTCATAAAAAAGTAATGAAACTAAAAAACAATGAAAAGAAATTTAGTTGCATGAAAACTATAAATATTTATCTGTTTTGGACTGCAAATGAGCATTAGTATGTGCACCAAGGAGCAGAAATATATCCTTGACGGACACTTTCATTGACGGTTGTGGATCAGAGTTGCTTATCCACAGCCGAGGGGGGGGGGTTAGTTGTGGATCAGCAGAATCATTTAAAACAAGCTATGTGAGATGATTTGTTGGGCTGACAAGCTGAAGATATTCACATAAAGAGTTGCGTAAAGGTGTGCGTAATTGTGGAACAAAGAGCTCATTATGACCTGCTGACACATGATGAGTGATGGTGTATTAGCTGCTTAAGATTGATCAGTGTCACAGAGAGTGTTGAGTTTGTGTCTCGGCATCAATGGCATAAGTAAAGAGGTATTACAGCTGAGGTCTATTGCTTTGAATCATTTTCCAAATTGATTAGTAGTAAGATAAGCTTCAAAATAGTTATATTTTCTGGCCATAAAATTATATGCCCCTGTAATTGTAAGTTAAACAAAAAACATTTGCTTTAAGGAAATTACATTGAGATCACTGGTCGTCTTTATCCCTTTAATGCCCCTCCCACACCTTTCTAATTTGGATTTAAGTGTTGCAGTATCTTTTTTTCCTGCTAAAAACTGATTTGGCCGTATACTGCAATAGTGTTGAGAAGTCCCAACCTCTATGTAACTTAAAATATATGTTTTTCTTATGTTTCAAACTGCACTGAACTTTCAGTGACAAGACAGAGACCTTAATCATGTTTTGGAATAAAAAATCGTCATCATTATACCTGTAAGTGGATAGGGGTGGGTGGAAAAAAACAAACTTGGAAAATGTTGCTTAAAATGATTTCATCACAATGCTTAGTTTAATGATGTCAGTTTTTTTTATCCCTTGTTATCAGCTCAAGGAAAACAACCATAAAAATGAAAACCATAAAAATGTCACGTAAGCAAAAATGTACAAAGGATCTCTAGCATATTTTTTATCATTGCTGAAAATAAAAGTTTTACCAAGGTATTGTAATCTTTTTAGTTGCCTTCCTCAAGGGAAAAGTTACCAGTTGGGTCCTCAGTTCATTTAATCTCTACAAAAATATATTGAATATCTTAAGTAGACTTGTCTTTATAATTTATCTGGAAACCTTGGTATTTTAAAATAAATTATAGGAACATTGAATTTCTCTCTATCAATTGGGAAATGTAAGTTGATTGCAGCAATTACCAGTGAAATTGAGTATAACAAATTTAAGCTGCTTTAGCAACTAATCAGTGAGTGAGTTCATTGCTTCCCTTATGCAGAGATCATCACAGCAAGTCTTTATAACTTTTGCACAGACTTGGCAGATATTTTTCTGGATGCCTCTAATTGCTTATCATTGAGAAATGTGATTAAAGTTTTTGAATAGAATGTATTAATTTCCCAATATTTTAACCAAACCCTGTATTCTTGATGATTTATGTAATTGATTAACACAAAACTGTAAAGAGGAAAAAATAGGAAGCCAACAAACTTTGCTCAGTTTTTTTTAGTCTTTGTCATGTATGGTTGCTCCCACTTCAGTGATCTTTTGTTGGAGCTAATAGTTGATTGGCCATAGGAGTACTGGGACATTTGAAGGACACCTTTCTTCTGGCCTGGCCTGCTGAGTGGTTGAAGATCAGGCAGGATCAGTGGCTCTGTCCAGGTCATGAATTCTAAATGAGCAATCTATGCTGTTCATAAGCTTCCCTCAGGTATCTACTTTGCTGATGCCCCCCCTAGACTAAGTAGAGGTGATGAAGATAAACAAGGCAGAAGTTACTGTCTTTGGGCCAGTCTCTGAAAAAGAAGCTGATTAGGCAGTCACTTCATTTGGATGGGATTAAATTGATCTTAGATGTTAAAATAAAAAAAAAAGGTTTTATTTTTTATTAGGACCTGTCATTTAAATCCCATATCATAGAGGTTTCTAGAGTTTCCTTGTTTCATCCCTGGAATATTGCAAAAATTAGAAATAATCTGTCCATGGGTGATGCTGACAAACTATTAAATATATTTGTTACTTCAAGGTTGGGCTATTGTAATTCTTTACTATCAGGAAGTCCATAGACTGTAGTGAAAAGCCTTCAACAGACCCAAAATTCTGCAGCCAGAGTTCTGTTAGGTTTATTCTTTATTAGTCATGTGTATTACCTATCTGATAGCCAGATTAGATGGGGTGAACGGCCTTCCTTTACATGGTGTATCACATTGTGGAAAAGGAGGCTGTGCTTATTTTACAGACAAAAGTCCTTTAAATCGTCAAGTTTTATCTTATATCAGAGATCTGACTGTACCTTATTTTCCTAACAGAGCAGTAAGCTCTCGGTTTGCAGGTTTACTAGTGGTTTCCAGATTTCTAAAAGTAGAATGGGAGGCAGATCTTTTAGTTATGAGCCAACTCTTTTGTGGTACCAACTACCAGTGAGGCAGACATCCTTTACAATTTTAAGGCTAGCCTTAAGACTTTCATTTTTCATAAAGCTTTTATTTAGAATGGCTCAGGTTATCCTGAGCTACCTCTATAGTTATGCTGCTATAGGCTCAGATTGCCCTTTTTCATCATTCTATCTCCATTATCCCACTCTGCAGAATTTGTTAGCTTAACCCCTAAGATCACCCAATCTCTCCCAGTCGGCCTCGCCATATGGTCGCTCACACTGAGCCTGGTTCTACTTAAGGTTTCTTCCTGTTAAAAGGGAGTTTTTACTCTCTACTGTTGCTACAAGCATACTTAGTGCGAGGGACTGCCTTAAAGTCAATAAGTCGATGAAAGCGGATGGTTATCCTAGAAAACTTTGAATAAATTCGACTGTATGATCTTGTTAAATTGTCTCTGTAAAATGAGATGACATGTATTGTATCTTTCTGTATATCTGCTTCTCTCTCCTTGATCCCCAGTCGGCTTTGGCAGATGGCGGCTCACACATCCAGCCCAAAGTCTGTGTGCAGCTATTGACTCATGCCGGACCTTACAGAGGCACTTAAGGCAAGGAAAGGCAAGACAAATTTATTTGTATAGCACAATTCAGTACAAAGACAATTCAAAGTGCTTTACATGATTAAACTTAAGACAATAACAAACATAGTCTTTTATCACTTCAAGAAATATACAGGATTAAAAGACTGATGCCTCTGAAGGATCTCAAAAAACTAATCCACGTTTATCTTTAGCCAAATTGATAACTGCAATTAAGTCTTTACAGGTCCACCTACAAAGTTGATCAGACAGCTGCAGTTGATTGAGGATAGTGTTGCCTGCAACCTTACTACAACTAAGAAAGAAGCGGGGCATTAGCCTGGTCCGCATTGCCGGCAATAAGTTGGACCTATTCCAAGTGCATTTTGGACTCCGCCAGTGCTGCCCTGTCATAACCTTTATGGACATGATTTCTAGGCAGAGTCAAAAGACTGGTTTGGGAACCAGCAGTTCATGTCCCTGCTTTTTGCGGATGACATGTTTCTGCTGGCTCCCTTCTGCCAAGACCTACACCTTGCACTGGGGCAGTTTGCAGCAGAGTATGAAGTGGCCGGGATGAGAATCAGCTTCTCCAAGTGCGAGGCCATGGTTCTCTAATGAAAAAGGTGGCTTGTCCACTTCAGGTTGGAGGAGAGTTCCTTCCTCAAGCGAGACATTTAAAAATCTTGGGGTCCCATTCTTGAGTGAGGGGAGAATGGGGAGATCCATAGATCGATTGGTGCAGTTGCTGCCATAATGCGGACACTGCACTTGTCTGTCATAGGGAGTACTTTGGTAGTACCTTGATGTCCCCTCACCAGAGCTAGTGGAGGTGTCTGCAGAGAGGGAAGTCTGGGAGTCCCTGCTGAGACTGCTGCCTCCATGACCTGGTCATGGATGAAGCAGTAGACGAAGAGTAAGAGTAAGTTATAGTAAAGCCACCTTGTCTTTTTTAATAGCATTATTTTATGAGTAATATGTATAATCTTTCATATTTATATACCAAGCTCAATAAACAAGAATAAAGTTTTAGTCAAAATAAAAGTCACACACTATTTTATCTATAGTCTCTACTGTCTAAAATGTTAATACTAATAACAGAAAAAGGATGAGGTCTGCATTATTTAAGCCACACAAGTTATTTCTTCTCTTCAGGAAGAGCGTATTAGTGGAGACTTTACAAATGCCTCACATACCTATGGAAAACAAGAGTTTTTAGAAAAACCTATTTTGACAGGACATATATAGATGGGAGTAAAACAGAATAGGTTCAGGAAAGAACAAACTTATTTATAGATTCAACACTAATAAATAAATCTTTTGATTATATTTTACACGCAAAAACCTTGAAATTAACGCTGGTAAACTGTAGCTCTGTACAATTACCAATTCTTGTACATTTTCTGCATTGAGCTTAAGTGAAAGAACAAAAGAATCAGTAAAGAATATTACGTCTACAAAAGGGTTTTACATGCTTTTGGCTAGATCTCCCCCCTGAAGGCAACTGTAAGGGTGTTTAGTATTTATTAGCAAAATCATTCAGAGGAGGGTACATCCCGTATGTTCCATAGCTGGGTGGTGGGTCAGCAGGCAGAAACACGGCCGGCGGTTGTGGAGGTCCAAAGTCCCACACAGGAGGGTTTGGATTCCCATAGTTTTCAAACAGTCCATTTCCAAAGTCAGAAGCAGCTGGTGGTGCTGATGCCATGGCAGGTGCTTGAAGGATGAAGATGTTAAATTTGACCTCGGGATCTGAAGCATACTTAATATCAAGGTAGACCTGGGAGGAGGCAGAAAATGTATAGAATGTATTATAATGAAGTGTAATGTGTATGTTATATATTTAATTTCTGCTAAAAAAAATATGACAATGTTCTTTCTAAACAGGCGGGAATTTTCTAGAAATAAAACGACTACGAAGCGATAAAGGCAGCACTCCTCTGGGCTGTAAATCCTTTACTTTAAAGGCACATTATGCAACATTTTTCAGTTAATGTGTTCCATAACGTTTTGGATGATTAAATGAGTCATTTCAGGTTGAACAAAGGTATTCTCGGCCGCCCTGGTGGTCTGTGGGGGAAATACCGCACTTGCAATTGCAGGAGCACCGACCCGCACCCACAGGCTCAGAAGTCTCACGAGAGTCGGTCTTGCTTTACGGCGAGAACTGCTACACGCCCCCAGTTAAAAGCATGCTTGTTGCTAGCACAGTGGCGATCTTTGTGCAGTGCTGCTTTCACACCGGACTCAGCAAAATCGCGTCTGGTGCTTCATTTTTGCTGCTTGTACCAGTTAGTTCTGACGCGCGGCTGAAGCAGCTTTGCTGCTCTGGCTGCGCGGTGCAAAAGTGTGTGACGCGCATTGGGCGGAGCTTCACTATCCTTTCTCTGCCTTACAGCTATATTTGCTGTGATCAGTGTGAATAAAGTCGTTTTAAATGTTTTTAAGTGAGAAAATACACCTGAAAACGTAATCAGTGCAGTCAGTTCATCCAGATTACCATCCTGCCTTATAATATTTTTTCTGTCGGAGCCGCTCAGACCCCCACATACCAGCGGTGTGCCGACAGTAGGAATCCCTTCATCAGCAGCCTCTGGCCAGGTCGCCTCCTCTCGGTTCACCGCGGCAGCTGGTGGGTGTTTTTCATCTAAATAATCCAAACTGCAGGCAGCAGGATAATAAAAGCAAACATATTCTGCCGGCAGATTTCTGCATTTTAAGTTAATTTAGGCGTCAATGCGCTGTGTCTCTCTCCCTGCCAGCTCCCAGATCAGCTTCTCTGATTGGTTGACGCGGCGCGTCGAGCAGCAAAAATTCAATTTTTCCATCTCGAGCAGCAGCACGTTTGCGGCGCGTCAGATGCTTAGTCATTCGTTGTGTTTGCCTGTCTGCTAAGCTCAAAACAACTGCGCCTGGCTTGACGGAGAAACCAGCAGAACAGCTGTGCATATTTACGACAGTGCACTTTTACTTTCGCCCTCTGGGGGGAGCCTCGCTGGAAAATCAACACCGGTTGCATAGTGTACCTTTAATACATTACTATTCAATCTCGTTCTTTAGCTCTTTGTATGCAGATAAATAGCCTTCAAATAAGTTATTTTATAAGGTTCCTCATATTTATTGTAACACAAAGTGTATATTATAAGTAGCATTTGCATTTATCTGCTCTATCTGAATAGAGACACTGCATTTAAACTGTACACTTGCCGTTTTATACACCGTCATGCGAACATAAACACCATGGACAACAGGATTAACTACAGAAAAGTGTAATCCATATAAATAAATACTTATTAATGTTTTGCAAGAAAGTGTTTTCCGAATTCCCCTTGAACGCACCCCCTTTTCCCAGTTCCCCTGAATGCATCATATGCTTGCACAACGTGCGTCTGAGCAGACATGCAAATTGTTGACCAGAGCTGTAAGACACTGATTGAGCTGAGAAAAGTGATTAAAAAAATACCCTTTATGAGTTTTAAGTTCATATTGTCAATCTTTCAGTACTTTAGAATTGTTTCCATTAAACCCAACCGAGTGGAATACACTTGTTGTCCTTGAAACTCCAGTGAGTTAATTGAGATAGCAAAATACTAAATCTACACATGCAAGCTAAAGCAGGTACCACTATGTGTTGGAAACTAAAACCGGTCGGAGTACTGAGCTAGATTTATAAAATTGAGTACTCTTATGTTTTTTGTTGTTAATTGATAAATTAACATAGAATAACTGTAAAAGGAAAAATACTATAATGCACTTTTATTTATGTAAATTTAGTTTGAGTTTTAAAGACTGAGTCATTTAATTTCTGTTGAATTTTATAACTATGCTCCAGTTGAACATTACTGAGTTTAAATGGGCATTGACTTTGTTTAATTGTAAACAGAATATAATTAAAATGAACATTGGGGTTTGTTATGCTTTAAGTAATCCAGTTAAACTTTATAGTCTCAATGTTAAAACAAGTCAACTACATTTTGAAGATGTGATGAGATCTCATTTTAAATAGAAAAACCATTGAGTTATATCTCTAATTGTTCTGTACTACATGTGCAGACTGTTTTTTTTATTGGTCCAGATCTGATCTTAGAGTTGATCATTAAAGTTTGATGGTGAGCCAGATCCAGTGAGGACTTCTGAACAATCCCATATCAGAGCGGCCAGCAGCTTGTTTATGGAAAGAATCAATGGACCTTAACATCACACACTGCTCAACCTCAGATAAGGAACAACCAGCTCACTTTATTCCGAACCGATAACCACACAGTGGAAAGATCTTTTCTGTTACCAGATATTACACAGAGACTAAATAGAATACAAACTATAACCATTCCTGAATTGTATTTTATTTTCAGAGAGCTCTCTTTCTGTTGTCAACTGTTTTATTGCGACATTGTAAAATTGTAATAAACCTGCCAACTGCTCAAATTCCGGATTCCCTTCATTTATTTTACTCCTCTAGAACCTAGTAAATGGATAGTTTTTGCTTTTGGTAAGTAAGTGCTACAAAAGCATTGCGTGGTAAAGAGGGGAACCTTCAGCGAGAAGCAGCATAGCTTTTGGATCCAGCCTCATAAAAAAAAAAAAAAAACAATATTTTACTCCATCTAAACAGGCAAGTTCAAATAATCACGTTTTATTTGTTACAACTAGTTCTTTTTGTGTTATTCCAAACCACTTTAAGTCATTAATATCATAACTTAATTTTTCCAAATATTTTTACATCTCACTGCTTACCCTGAGTCTGTGCTCTACTTTGATGTTGTTACAGTTGAGGATGGAGGGCTCCATATCTTGAGGTATGGGAATAACCTGTGTGACTTTTTCGGAGGCCGATGGGGGGATTGTAGCTCCAACCTCCTTAATGAGATCTTTAGTGTGGACCCTTCTTCTCCCACAAGCAAAAAAGCTGTGCTTTTTGTATATGCAATACTTGGGCTTGATCTCACGAGATGAATCATTCTTAATCAATGCCAAAACCTTTAACCCTTCTCCTGTGATGCACAGAAAAATGATCAGAAAAGCTGCTAAAATTATATTCAAGAACAACTCATTGCTCATTTAAATGCCTCTCACCTTGGTGAAAGCCTGACTTCTCAAGGTTTACATCCATGGCGATACTTCCAGATTTAAAAAGACCCATTTTCTTATCTTTAGACTCATGCTGGGGTACCTACAAGACAGGTGAATAAATAAATGCAACAACATGCCCATCAAGAAAACAATATATATATATATATTAAAAAAAAAACATTCAGCCCAATGACTGTCAATCTTGTGTTTGAATTTGTGATACCTGTCCAGAGGAAAGCAACAAAAATATTTTAAAGCATAAAGCTCAAATGCAAAGGGACACAAACACAAAAAGTAAAAATAAAAAATCTCCCAAAAAGCCCCTCCAAAAAAAAACTGTTGAACCATTAGAACCTCATGGTAAAATATTCATAGCATTTTGGGATATACAGTAATAAAAAAAAATATGTTTATTGTAATGTCCTTTGAGGCATGAGTGGCCACAAGGGGTGCTGGGTAATGTTTACACCGGGGAGAACATCAGCATGTAATTCTATTTTTGTGTAAAAAAACGGTTGTTCATTTTGGTCGTCTGTGTATGCTAGAGTAACATTGTGTTATTGAAGTTGCAATTGTGTTAAACTTGGATTTAAGGGTTAAGGCGGATGTTCTCTCATTCCTTATATAGGAACGGGGATTATACAGTGGACTTTATAGTGAACTCAGTTAACTGACCGTTCGGACAGATGATCACTACTTTTGGCTTCCTTTTAGTCGTGTGACTCCGCCTCCATGCACGGTCTATGAGCCATCTTTTGCTATTCGTTGCCGCTGTCTGCTAGCGACAGTGCGCCACTGTGACAACAAAATCCATGATGCTTTGCGAGGGAGCTGTCCTCGCGAATCATTTCGGGATACATCTCCTCATCTAGTGAACATGGATGTGAGGCTAATTGTAGCATGGCATTTTAAATTAAGGACAGGAGATGGGGCTTAAAGCCACAGCTCCAGCTGTCAATAAGTCCACAGAGGCTAACCAGTTCCATGTGGAATAGGGAGAGACTTGGTGGAGTAGAGCTGACCAGGGCTGGAATTGTCAGTGGAAAAACATTAAAACATTTAATTACTAAACTAGTATGCAGAAAATTATCTTCTGGCCAAAGATAACAGACTCTTCAGCTGCTTTAGTTTCCTAAGGGAATCCAGCTGGATTTGTTTCCATGATTGTAGCCCAAAACTGCACCAACAAGGAGCTATTTATTAGTCAGGTCAGTTCTGTAAATAAAGCCGTAGAGGCCTACATCAAGTTACAATTTGCAACAAGACTGGTTTTCTTAAAACAACTGAAGCTACTGTTTCACAATGTATAGCTAAATTATATGTGATATCAACAGTGTTGGGCACGTTATTTTGAAAAAGTAATTAGTTATAGTTACTAGTTACTTCTCCCAAAAAGTAACTGAGTTACTAACTGAGTTACTCCACAATAAAAGTAACTAGTTACTAGTAAAAGTAACTATTGCATTACTTTTGCGTTTCCCCCCCTCGTAACCCTCATCAGCTGGCCCCCACCTTCTCGCTGTGTGTTTCAAAAGCCAGCTAAACAGAGTGGACGACAAAGACAAGAACCTGCAGAGAGTTTTGCATTTATTGCAACTCAACGTAAATAACAGGGCATTCAGATGTGGTGAGTATATGAAATTAATAACTGGGGATGTCTAATTCTGAAATCCTGTGTGTTTGGGTTGTTACAGATACTGCAACATCTATCTATCCATCTATCTATCTAGATGTATACTCTGTGTGTGACATCAAATATGGATCTCCATCCCTGCCACAAAGGCCATCAAATAATGTTTAAAATAAAAAATCCAGTAGGTTGAAAAGGCAGAGTATCCATCCATCCATCCATCCATCCATCCATCCATCCATCCATCCATCCATCCAGATTTCTCCATATAGGCCATCATTTGATCGTTCACGCTCTCCTGTGGCGCGAGCACAGAGCGACTGTTGCGCGCCTTTAGCGAGCATGCGCGTTTCCTGTCGCTTGCGCGGTGAATCGTGCCGCCTGCGCTGTGCGGAGATGCAGGGGAAACCGTATGTGATGGGGAAACGCAGCTCGACGTAACACCAGTATTTCCATCTGGAAAACGCTGTTTTGCTGCTGGAGTCATCCCCACTCTCCATCTCTCTGTGTGTGCTGTACGTTAACACCCACCAGCGGAAACACCCACCTACCCAACTGACAGACGTCTCACTATACATCAGCCAATCTCATCCTCCCCTCTCTCATGACAAGGCGCGCACGAGTCCTATCATGAAAAAAGGTTCATTGTGCGACCTGAGTAACGCGCAGTAACAGGGTCTCTGCAGTGGTAACTGCGTTATAGTTACAGTCAAAGTAATTAGTTGGATTACTCGTTACTAAAACAAGGTAACGCCGTTAGTCCCATCACTGTATATCAGAGATCTGACTGTACCTTATTTTCCTAACAGCAGTAAGCTCTCAATTTGCAGGTTTACTAGTGGTTTCCAGATTTCTAAAAGTAGAATGGGAGGCAGATCTTTTAGTTATGAGCCAACTCTTTTGTGGCACCAACTACCAGTGAGGCAGACATCCTGTATAATTTTAAGGCTAGCCTTAAGACTTTTATTTTTGATAAAGCTTTTATTTAGAATGGCTCAGGTTACCCTGAGCTACCTCTATGGTTATGCTGCTATAGGCTCAGATTGCCCTTTTTCATCATTCTATCTCCATTATCCCACTCTGCAGAATTTGTTAGCTTAACCTCTAACATCTCCCAATCTCTCCCAGTCGGCCTCGCCATATGGCCGCTCACACTGAGCCTGGTTCTACTTAAGGTTTCTTCCTGTTAAAAGGGAGTTTTTACTCTCTACTGTCGCTACAAGCAGTGTGCGAAATACAGGGGGGTTCGGGGGGGCTCGAGCCCCCCGATTAACCCATGAGACCCCCTGAAAGCCTCAAAAGCAAAATTTAAGGGGGGTCTTAAATTGTGTCAAAAAAATTTAAACAAAATGTTCTGGCTCCTTTGGAAGCCATTGCTCATATTTGCGTATTGTTTCAACGCCGTTAGTCCCATCACTGGATATGAAATGGTAACTGTCTGCCACAGTGGTGTTATACAAGAGAAAGAGCTTAATAGTAAATACTAGGGATGGGACGATTTATGAAAACCGTCAGAACCGTTCGGTTCGACTGTCTCGGTTCGGTTAGCATGTGTTTCGTTCGGTTCATTCGCTGCTCCTTTTTCCTCATAGGCAAAGCAATTACACTCCAGAGCAGAAGGTGGCGCTACTGTGACCAAAGCCAACTACCAGTAGTAAACAAGAAGAAGAAGAAGCGAAGCAGCTTAGCCGGGTGCAGCAGGGAAAAAAATCAGTTGTTGTGGAGAATTGTGTCGGACTGGCGAGTGGGAAAGAACAGGAGTTGGAAGACGCGCCAGCAGCACTTTATAGGTCTGCTGTATGGGAGCGCTTTGCATTTAGAGTGACCTACGATGACGGCAGAAAGAAAGTTGTGGATAAAAGTGCAACAGTGTGCAAGCACTGTGCAACACGTTTTGTTTATGCTAACAGCAACATGACCAACATCATGCTAACCCCGAAATCCCTCATACTCCATCAGCGCTCCGCCCCGATGCACTCCAGACCGGCTGCTCAAAGCAAAGCCTACAGCCCCCACTGTGGCTCCCTCCATCCGCTCCCCTCTGAGTCCCTTGGAGATGGTAGAGAGCATGCGCGAGACGATTAAATTCAAAGCAGCAAAACATACGGAAATGATCCAGGGTTTCCGCGGAACATTTAAAATAATTACAATCCATTATTTTTTGGGGGATTTTTTTCATTAATTCCATAACTTTTTATGGGATTTCGGTGTAACAATCAACATGTATCGAACCAAACTGAAAACCGTGACCAGAAACCGAACCGTGGATTTTGTGAATCGTTCCACCCCTAGTAAATACTTCTGTTTTGATATCTGCACATTTAGACAGACAAAATGTTTCACCACCAAAAGTCCTGCAGCTCTTCATAACATCTAAGACAGAACATATCATGAATGTGAAACATACCTTTAGATCAGCGACTGGGTTCAGGTCATCTCTTGCCAAAAAGTTGAGCGGGACTTTTTCCTTGCTGTCCGTCCTCATTGATCTGCTCAAAACTGCTTCCAGCTGGTAAATGATTTTACCAACCTCACCTTTAAAGGAAGAGGGAATATCCCTAATGAGAAACCACACAGGGCCAGAGGAGAGTCAGAATCATGTAGTAAAAGAATACGATTTATTGGAAAGACGAGCTAAATATTGAAAAACAAAACAAGTAAGATCATATGATCTACTGGAAGGATCTGTCATTGTAAATAAACTTAAGTTAAAAAGTTTTGTGATGAGTAGTGTATGTTTCAAGAGTAACAAGAATGTACCTAATTGCTACCATTATAGGATGCTAGTTAAATGCAGGGCATTTCTTTAGATGCATGTACATGTACAGAAACATATATGTAGTTGTTTCTTACTGAAGAGGGAACTGAAAGGAGAATGGATACACATGGATCCCAGGAGGCACAACACTGCAGTCTATCAAATAAAAACATAAATGCATTAGTTAATATCTTTTTTTAGGACAGTGTTGCCTCTCCTTTACAATTTATTCAAAGATCTGCATGAGTAAAACAAATATTTTATGTTGCACAGCTTAGAAAGAGAACTCCAGCTCATGTGCTTGTTTATTATTATATTTTATTCATCATCTGTTTATAAATTCAATATCAAGCAAACGTAGGTGATTAACTGAAGCCATAAAAAATAATGCCAGACAAGCAACCACACAATGATACAAAACAAAAACCCTAAAAAACCAACAGACGGGGATGCTCAGGTTTTTGATTGAGCAGATATGCAAAAGAATTGCATTGAAATTTATTCAACAAACATTTTTTAAACAGCAAATGAATTTCTATTCATTTTGATGAACACTGCAGCACAAGGCATTATCTTCAGATTTGCATGTCCAACATATTTAAAACAAAGAAGCTTTATAAACAGGTGTGCTGCAGCCTGTGTAAATATACCTCGGGTTGCATCGTAATAGGAAGAATACTGAACATGTTGACAACATTGACTACATTTTACTAACACAAACAATTTGCTTCCATTTCCATCATCACAAAGATCTAAGAAAAAAAACCTCTCTGATTATTAGCTCATTAGAAACTAACATATAGCTCTAATAATGGCTGAAAGAGAGTAGAAGTCCCATCAGTTTAGAAAGTTTTGCAAATTTTCTGCTATTTTTCACTGCGGTAAAGCTAGCTGCCTCTTCGAAAATAACAGTAAAGCCAGCCCGCTCTCGATTTTCACATGCGCACATTTACGTGCTGCTTTCACAATAAAAGCGCGCATCCGGTCCATGTTTAATCTACTGGAAATAGATTTACAACGGCTTCGAGATCTAGACTTTGTATCACAATTACCTGTTTAAATCAGGCAGACAAAGCTGATTTTCCCATGACTTACCCTTTCCCCGCAATATTTGTAGAGACAGCAATTTGCCCACTTTGTGGGCACCGAATGTTTTTTTTGCCGTCATAGATTTAACTATCTAAAATCAGGTCATATTCGTATTCTGTTAAGGATTGTCACGAGTACATCACAATAGCTAAATACATCTAGGTTTATGTCTTTTACTATAAAATATCTTCACAAATTTGGCTACCATCATACCTTCATCTTGAATTTTGCCATCACATCTGGTTGACAGAGGGGCACCTCTAGAACACAACCAGAAAATGTCATCAAGATCTGATGTGTCATTTCAAAATAAAAGCCGATTAAAAAAAGCACTTTTTTTACCCTAAGTTGTTGTGCTTTTTTCTGAAAAACTATGTTTCCAGTGACTTCTAGCACATCTGGTTGACAGAGGGACACACCTCTAGAACACAACCACAAACTGTCAACAACATCTGATGTGTCATTTCAAAATAAAAGACAATTAAAAAAGCACTTTTTTACTTTAAGTTGCCTTGCCCATTGCTGGAAAACTCTTTGTTTCCAATGACTTCTAGCACTTCTAGCACATCTGGTTGACAGAGGGACACCTCTGGAACACAACCACAAACTGACAACAAAATCTGATGTGTCATTTCAAAATAAAAGCCAATTAAAAAAGCCCTTTTTTACTTTTTTACCCCAAGTTGCCATGCCCATTGCCCATTGCTGGAAACTGGCAACTTAGGGTAAAAAAGTGCTTTTTTAATTGTGTTTTATTTTAAAAGGATACATCAGATTTTGTTGACAGTTTGTGGTTGTGTTCTAGAGGTGTCCCTCTGTCAACCAGATGTAATGGAAGTCACTGGAAACAGAGCGTTTTCCAGCAATGGGCATGGCAACTTAGGTTAAAAAAGTAAAAATGCTTTTTTAATTGTCTTTTATTTTGAAATGACACATCAGATGTTGCTGACAGTTTGTGGTTGTGTTCTAGAGGTGTCCCTCTGTCAACCAGATGTGATTGAAGTCACTGGAAACAGATAGTTTTCCAGCAATGGGCATGGCAACTTAGGGTAAAAAAAGTGCTTTTTTAATTGGCTTTTATTTTGAAATGACACATCAGATCTTGATGACATTTTCTGGTTGTGTTCTAGAGGTGCCCCTCTGTCAACCAGATGTGATGGCAAAATTCAAGATGAAGGTATGATGGTAGCCAAATTTGTGAAGATATTTTATAGTAAAAGACATAAACCTAGCTGTATTTAGCTATTGTGATGTACTCGTGACAATCCTTAACAGAATACGAATATGACCTGATTTTAGATAGTTAAATCTATGACAGCAAAAAAAACATCCGGTGTCCACAAAGCGGGCAAATTGCTGTCTCTACAAATATTGCGGGGAAAAGGTAAGTCATGTGAAATCAGTTTGGTCTGCCTGATTTAAACAGGTAATTGTGATACAAAGTCTAAAACTCCAAGCATTGTAAATCTATTTCCAGTAGATTAAACATGGACCGGATGCGCGCTTTTATTGTGAAAGTAGCACGTAAATGGCGGTACCATAATGTCTTGAGCTGTCGCGCATGTGAAAATCGAGAGCGGGCTGGCTTTACTGTTATTTTCGAAGAGGCGGCTAGCTTTACCGCAGTTATTTTTCAGCTATTAACCACTGTGAGTCCATATACAATGTACCTCTCTTTTTGTACGCAAGCAAAGACATTTTTTCAACTAAATTCAAGTCTAATAAAAAGGTTGTTTGAGCTAATATTACATAAAGATAGGACACTTCAATGTCTTATTTGAGGTGTTAGGAACAAACATGAGCATGACAGAGAAATACAATTACTTACAGGTTGCTCCACTTTCATTTGTGATCAGTGTTTGCTGGTCATCTGGAAAGAAGTCACAATTGCAAGAAATTAAAAGCAATCAACTTCACACATAAGCGGAAATTCACATGACTGCTTTTGAATATATATTATCTTTGTGTGCATTCCTAAGGCGAAAGTATTTGCACCCCTTGAACTTTTCGATCTTTTGGCACATTAAACGCTTCAAAAATTCAGATATAAAATTTTATTTTTTTGTGAAGAATCAAGTGAGAAACAATCATGAGGAACAAAATTTATTGGATATTTTAAACTTTTTAAACAAATTAAAAACTGAAGAATGCAGCATGCAACATTATCGGCCCCTTTCCTTTCAGTGCAGAAAACTCTCTCCAGAAGTTTAGTGAGGATCTCTGAATGATCCAATGTTGACCTACTGTACATAACTGATGATGATAAATAGAATCCATCTGTGTGTAATAAAGTCTCCATATAAATGCATCTGCTCTGTGATAGTCTCAGAGGTCTGTTTAAAGCACAGAGCGCATCATGAAGAATAAGGAACACACCAGGCAGGTCTAAGATTCTGTTGTGGAGAAGCTAAAAGCCAGATTTGGATACTAATAGATTTCCAAGGCTTTAAACATCCCAAGGAGCACTGTGCAAGCGATAATACTGGATTCGAAGGAGTATAAGACCACTGCAAATAAACCATCAGCTGAAAACAAGGGGAGAACTGATCAGAGATGCAGCCAAGAGGCTCATGATCAATTTGGATGAACTGCAGAGATCTACAGCTTCAGTGGGAGACACTGTTAATGGGACAACAATCAGTCATATACTGCACACATCTGGCCTTTATGGAAGAAAGGCATATGTGGAAAAAGGAGCTCTGGGAGATGAAAGCAAAATTGAACTTTTTGGCAACAATGCAAAATACAAGATGATTCTGGAAGAAAAACTGCTGGAGTCTGCAAAACAACTGAGACTAGGATAGAGATCTATCTTCCAACAAGAAAATGATCCAAAACATTAAGTGAAATCTACAATGGAATGGTTCACAAATAAACATATCCAGGTGTTAGAATGGCCAAGTCAAAGTCCAGACCTGAATCTGATTCAGAATCTGTGCAAAGAACTGAAAACACAGTCCAAAAGCAAGACTGTTAGGTTAATTGGCTTCTCTAAATTCTGCTTAGGTGTGAGTGTGTGGGTGTGAATAGTTGTTTGTTCTGCTTGTCTCTGTGTTGCCCTGCAATGGATTGGCGACCCGTCCAGGTTGTACCCTGCCTCTTGCCTGTAGACAGCTGGAGATAGGTAACAGCACCCCTCACGACCCCACTTGGAATAAGCGTGTTAGAAAATGGATGGATGGATGGATGGATGGATGGAGTATATGTACTTGACTGTGCTTTTTGCTTTTACCCAAGTAATATTCTTAGAAAATGGCTACACATAGTCGGGTTAAATTTCTGGTTCCCCTCCCCTCTAATAGTGACTTGAACTATTGGAGATCAGGGGAAATGTGCAACAAGGAGCTGATATTGTAGCTAGGGGTTCTTAATCCTTTACTTGCATATATGCATTACCTACTTTAAATATTGGTTTCATCCGTTTATTTTGAAAAGTTGATTTGAAAAAGAAGTTTCTACTTACCCATTTTTTTATTTCATAATCATTCTTTTTTTATTTACATTTTTCTAAAAATAAAAGTTAAAATACCCAGATGTGCGAATTACTGTCTGTCTGATAACAGAATTTTAAATATTAAAATCAGTTACTCAATTTTAGAGAAAAAACTTTTTTAAATTGAGCAATTTCTTGTTTAATTAATTTCACTTTTACTGGAGTAAAACATATTAAATCAGTGCTGCTCTTGCTTTACCCATCCTACAGTTTCTGCAGAGCTGCCAAACATTTATCAATAGAGCATGAGCTACTTTAGACATATCAATGTGTACAGAAGAATCAGCGCCCCCTACAGTCACAATATGGGATCAGAATAGTGGCCGCTTAGGAGAACAACATTAATAAACAGGCATCCTTATTGTTTTCTTTTTTTTCCCTTTGAGCAAGAGATTCAATGTCCATTATATATAAAAAAGAAACAAACAGAAGATGGACATTGATAATATCTATCCATCAATTTTAGAAAACAAAATAAAAATACATAAAAAAAAAAAAAAAGAAATACACCTAAGAACACGTGAAAATACCCTTTTTGTTGACAAACATGACAGAGAAGGCCAATTATAGGTTAATTTCCGCCGCTTACCCGTGCTGTTCTTGCCTTTTATGAAGTAGTGCCGCAAGGTGAAGTACTTTTCTTTGGAGTGATAAACTTGAGTGGACTGACCGTAAGTTTCCGACCACAGTACCTCAGCTTTCCCCTTGAACTTGATGTAAAATGACTCGATCTGGCAGTCTTTGGCTAATTCCACCTCTACCTGACCAGAAACCACATCTCCGTTACTAAAAGTGTTGCTGGCATTGATAGAGTTATAAGTAATTCCTATCTTCTTTATCGTCGACGACATGACGGCTTCAAAAACCCAAACTCTAAAGGGGCTGAGGAACACTAACACTAAAGCAAAAATAGGTTTACATCCGCTTTGAGTAGAAGGGCGGGTCTACAACACACCTGAGAGCAGCGGGCCACTTTGATAGCACACTGTTGGACTCCTTTAGCAGGGGTGGAGCTAGATGGGGGGCCAGGGGTGGTTAATTATACCGACTGACCCTGGTTAATTATACACATCATTATACTTCTCATCATTAAAGATGAGAAGTACAGAATTCATGCTTTTTTCAGAACTACATTTTGTGTTGTATAAGGTAAAGAGAAAATTATGTGTATCTGCAAGTCATCTAAGAGTCTTATTGATAAATAGCTATTTAAAAAAAATTATTAAATAATCAATTTATGTAAAAATTTGTACTTGTAAATATCAATTTTATGCTGAATGATTATTGATAAAATTAGGTAAGTAATGACAGTGACCTCAAAGAATTGTATCCACTATACCTTTCATCTTTCACCTTTCACAGATGTTTAAATATTTATGTGTCTATTTGTCAGCAAAAGTTGTAGAAAAGTATGGTTAGTCTTTATTTTAAAGATATAGATGTTGCTCCCATTAATTTTCCTGTTGTAGATTGACCCTGAGGGTCTGGTGCCTATCAACTTTCGGCCAGCCTTCAGTTTACATTGGTTATTGCCTGGTCACCCTTAAAAAAAAATGTCTGGCTATGCCTCTGCCCTTTAGATTAAGATATTTTTCATTCAGAACTTTTTGATATGATAAATAAATGCAGGTCACAAGTCAGTGTTTATATACTGCATCCCTCCTGTTTATTTACTTATTTTATTTTATTCATACAAGCAGCTGGTCAAAGTTGTGCGGGAGCCTGTAGGAGCAGCTGCCAGTTCCTAACTCCCCCTCGCTTTCCCGATCTGATAAGAAGTAATTATGGTCAGTCTTTATAGATCTATTCCTTTATTTGATGTTATGATGTTTTGTTGTCTTTGTTATCTCAAAAGTGGTTGTCATCACATGCATCATGTGGTTATTTACCTTTTATCCTTCAGAGAAATATTAAATTAAATCTGTGCTAATGTGAAATGTTTTAACATGTAATCTGTTTAAAAGGCATAATCACATTAACAAACTCCAAAATTATCAGGTAGTTGGAATATGCTTAGAATTGGATACTGAAAAAAAAAAAAATACTTGATTTGAAATTTTTCAAGAGCAACATACACTATATTGCCAAAAGTATTTGCTCACCCATCCAAATTATTGGAATCAGGTGTTCCAATCACTTCCATGGCCACAGGTGTATAAATTCAAGCACCTAGGCATGCAGACTGTTTTTACAAACATTTGTGAAAGAATGGGTCGCTCTCAGGAGCTCAGTGAATTCCAGCGTGGAACTGTGATAGGATGCCACCTGTGCAACAAATCCAGTCGTGAAATTTCCTCGCTCCTAAATATTCCACAGTCAACTGTCAGCTGTATTATAAGAAAATGGAAGTGTTTGGGAACGACAGCAACTCAGCCACGAAGAGGTAGGCCACGTAAACTGACGGAGCGGGGTCAGCGGATGCTGACGCGCATAGTGCGAAGAGGTCGCCAACTTTCTGCAGAGTCAATCACTACAGACCTCCAAACTTCATGTGGCCTTCAGATTAGCTCAAGAACAGTGCGCAGAGAGCTTCATGGAATGGGTTTCCATGGTCGAGCAGCTGCATCCAAGCCATACATCACCAAGTGCAATGCAAAGCGTCGGATGCGGTGGTGTAAAGCACGCCGCCACTGGACTCTAGAGCAGTGGAGACGCGTTCTCTGGAGTGACGAATCGCGCTTCTCCATCTGGCAATCTGATGGACGGGTCTTGGTTTGGCGGTTGCCAGGAGAACGGTACTTGTCTGACTGCATTGTGCCAAGTGTAAAGTTTGGTGGAGGGGGGATTATGGTGTGGGGTTGTTTTTCAGGAGCTGGGCTTGGCCCCTTAGTTCCAGTAAAAGGAACTCTGAATGCTTCAGCATACCAAGACATTTTGGACAATTCCATGCTCCCAACTTTGTGGGAACAGTTTGGAGCTGGCCCCTTCCTCTTCCAACATGACTGTGCACCAGTGCACAAAGCAAGGTCCATAAAGACATGGATGACAGAGTCTGGTGTGGATGAACTTGACTGGCCTGCACAGAGTCCTGACCTCAACCCGATAGAACACCTTTGGGATGAATTAGAGCGGAGACTGAGAGCCAGGCCTTCTCGTCCAACATCAGTGTGCGACCTCACAAATGCGCTTCTGGAAGAATGGTCAAAAATTCCCATAAACACACTCCTAAACCTTGTGGACAGCCTTCCCAGAAGAGTTGAAGCTGTTCTAGCTGCAAAGGGTGGACCGACGTCATATTGAACCCTATGGATTAGGAACGGGATGTCACTTAAGCTCATATGTGAGTCAAGGCAGGTGAGCAAATACTTTTGGCAATATAGTGTATGTAGCCACAAATTAAATTAATGTACATTTAACCTGTTTAGAAAATGAACAGCAGCAACACACACTTTTGAATTCAGAAGTAATAAAGCACCAAAACCCCTAAATGTAATGAAATATGACCCTAATCAGCTTTAACACAAGGAGCACCAACGTTGATGTTTTTATTTTTTTTATTTTTCATGAGTTTGAGCTTTTATGTGTTTAATATTAATTATTAAGCAAAGTGTCTCATAAAAAAGTAATGAAACTCAAAAACAATTAAAAGAAATTTAGTTGCATGAAAGTTGTGGATCAGCAGAGTTATTGAAAACAAGCTATGTGAGATGATGTGTTGGGCTGACAAGCTGTAGATATTCACATATATCCATAAAGAGTTGCCTAAAGGTGTGCGTAATTGTGGAACAAAGAGCTCATTATGACCTGCTGATACATGATGAGTGATGGTGTATTAGCTGCTTAAGATTGATCAGTGTCACAGAGGGTGTTGAGTTTGTGTCTCGGCATCAATGGCATAAGTAAAGTGGTATTAAAGCTGAGGTTCATTGCTTTGAATCATTTTCTAAATTAGTTAGTGGCAGCCTATGCTTCAAAATAGAGATATTCTCTTGCCATAAAATTATATGCCCCTGTAATTGTAAGTTAAACAAAAAACATTTGCTTTAAGGAAATTACATTTACATCACTGGTCGTCTTTATCCCTTTAATGCCCCTCCCGTACCTTTCTAAGTTGGATTTAAGTGTTGCAGTATCTTTTTTTCCTGCTAAAAACTGATTTGGCCGTATAGTGCAATAGTGTTGAGAAGTCCCAAATTTCTATGTAACTTAAAATATATGTTTTTCTTATTATGTTTCAAACTGCACTGAACTTTCAGTGACAAAACAGAGACCTTAATCATGTTTTGGAATACAAATCGTCATCATTATACCTGTAAGTGGATAGGGGTGGGTGGAAAAAAACAAACTTGGAAAATGTTGCTTAAAATGATTTCGTCACAATGCTTAATTTAATGATGTCAGTTTTTTTATCCCTTGTTATCAGCTCAAGGAAAAAAAACATAAAAATGAAAACCATAAAAATGTCACGTAAGCAAAAATGTACAAAGGATCTCTAGCATATTTTTTTTATCATTGCTCAAAATAAAAGTTTTACCAAGGTACTGCAATATTTTTTTAGTTGCCTTCCTCAAGGGAAAAGTTACCAGTTGGGTCCTCAGTTCATTTAATCTCTACAAAAATATATTGAATATCTTCAGTAGACTTGTCTTTATAATTTATCTGGAAACCTTGGTATTTTAAAATAAATTATAGGAACATTAAATTTCTCTCTATCAATTGGGAAATGTAAGTTGATTGCAGCAATTACTAGTGAAACTGAGTATAATATAACAAATTTAAGCTGCTTTAGCAACTAATCAGTGAGTGAGTTCATTGCTTCCCTTATGCAGAGATCATCACAGCAAGTCTTTATAACTTTTGCACAGACTCTGCAGATTTTTTTCTGGATGCCTCTAATTGCTTATTGCTTGAATAGAATGTATTAATTTCCCAATATTTTAACCAAACCCTGTATTCTTGACGATTTATGTAATTGATTAACACAAAACTGTAAAGAGGAAAAAAACAGGAAGCCAACAAACTTTGGTCAGTTTTTTTGAGTCTTTGTCAAGTATGGTTGCTCCCACTTCAGTGATCTTTTGTTGGAGCTAATAGTTGATTGGCCATAGGAGTACTGGAACATTTGAAGGACACCTTTCTGCTGGCCTGGCCTGCTGAGTGGTTGAAGATCAGGCAGGATCAGTGGCTCTGTCCAGGTTATGAATTCTAAATGAGCAATCTATGCTGTTCATAAGCTTCCCACAGGTATCTACTTTGCTGATGCCCCCCTAGACTAAGTAGAGGTGATGAAGATAAACAAGGCAGAAGTTACTGTCTTTGGGCCAGTCTCTGAAAAAGAAGCTGATTAGGCAGTCACTTCATTTGGATGGGATTAAATTGATCTTAAATGTCAAAAAAAAAAAAAAATTGTTTTATTTTTGATCAGGACCTGTCATTTAAATCCCATATCATAGAGGCTTATAGAATGTCCTTATTTCATCTCTGGAATATTGCACAAATTAGAAATAATCTGTCCACGGGTGATGCTGACAAACTATTCCATATATTTTTTACTTCAAGGTTGGACTATTGTAATTCTTTACTATCAGGAAGTCCATAGACGGTAGTTAAAAGCCTTTAACAGACCCAAAATTCTGCAGCCAGAGTTCTGTTAGGTTTATTCTTTATTAGTCATGTGTATTACCTATCTGATAGCCAGATTAGATGAGGTGAACGCAGGGGCGTTGCTAGGCACAAAGCTTTACTGGGGCACTGGCCCCCTAGTGCATATGCCCCTCCTTCCATACATAAATACAGACAAGCACACTACCCCACCCTGATACATTCCTACCAAAATTACCAGTTGAGATATTAATGAGTATAAGAGCATATTTGTTTTAACAAACATGAACATTTTCAACATTGCAGCTATAAAAAATAAGACATCAACAACTTTGACAAATAAAAAGTTTCCTTATACACATTCTGAAGTAATCATTAATTTCTAGGTTACAGAGTTTGAGTTCGGAGGA